ATGCTGGAAATATGATGTGGGTAAGATATTATGGTTTACTTCCCTTTCACATGGTTTTATTTTATTTTTTTGAGATGGAGTCTCGCTCTGTTTCCCAGGCTGGAGTGCAGTGGCACCATCTTGGCCCCCGGGTTCAAGTGATTCTCCAGCCTCTGTCTCCCGAGTAGCTGGGATTACAGGTATGTAATACAGGCTGGGATTACAGGCCACCACGCCCAGCTAATTTTGGTATTTTTAGTAGAGACAGGGTTTCGCCATGTTGGCCAGGCTGGTCTCGAACTCTCGACCTCAGGTAATCGGCCAACTTTGGCCTCCCGGAGTGCTGGGATTACAGGCATGAGCCACCACGCTCGGCCCCTTTCACATGGTTTTAAACTGGTTTGTTTACCATGGCACTAATTCCTTTCTTTAAGTAAAAGTATTCTGAGTAAGATTGATGGAACGATTGTTAGATCTGCTGATGCAATAAAGAAAACTAGTTAATGTGCAATACTGATGTGTCAAGATTTCACTTTGATATTTTTAATCATATATTATTGAGTGGAGAAAGAAAGTTGTTGAATTATTTTTGCATAATCACAGCTATTACTTCTGAAAAGTATATATGTTTATGTTGTGTATATTATATAGCTTCATACTTAGAAATGGAAATGAAAAGAAAAAGAAATGGAAGAATACAGTACAAATTTCCAACTGTTAGTGGGAATAGAAAATGGGGTGGGATGCTTTTTCATTTCATATAAATCTGTGTGCTTTTGAAACTAAAAAAGAGGTAAAATGTTAAAACTATATTTTGTAATCACTTGTTTCAAAATGACTGATTTCAGTTTTATTTGGGAAATACGTTTACAGAAGACTATGAATGCGAGTCTAAATAGGTGGCAGAGTAGAAAGAGCCCTTCTTTTTTCTTTTTCTTTCTTTCTTTTTTTTAGACGGAGTCTCGCTCTGTCGCCCAGGCTGGAGTGCAGTGGTGCGATCTCGGCTCACTGCAACCTCCACCTCCTGGGTGCAAGCGAGCCTCAGTCTCCTGAGTAGCTGGGATTACAGGCACCCGCCACCACACCCGGCTCATTTTTGTGTTTTTAGTAGAGATGGGGTTTCACCATGTTGGCCAGGCTGGTCATGAACTCCTGACCTTAAGTGATCCGCATGCCTCGGCCTCCCAAAGTGCTGGGATTACAGGCATGAGTCACTGCACCCTGGCCAATAAATGTTAATCTTCCTTTCTTATGGTAATATTGCTTGTTAAATAAATTACATATTAACTTTTGGGAAACCTCCCAATTTCTAATGCTGAAGACTCAGTTTCTTTTAAATTGGTTTATTCATCACACCACTTTTTCTTTTTAACCCAGGGTTGGACAACTGAATTTAAAGGCAAGTTAAAATTCAATATTTTGAACAATGTTTAAATGAAGATGAGTGGGAAGACAGAACTGTTAAAAGGTTTTATTATACAGCCAAGTGAAGGATTCAGCTATGTCCCAAAGGATTAAACAAGATGGTATGCTTAATAATTCCTCACTTCTATGAAATTCCCTGATTATAAAGTGTTCTTTCATTCTGTAGAACTACTCCTGATTTCATCAGGAAACTCTGATCTGAAACTCAATTTACAGAAATATTGAAAATAAATTTTCAACTAAATGGGAATATTTGTATACTAATATGATACAATGTTGTTGCTTTTTTATATTAAATACCATTCTAAACTCTAAATTTGTTAATAAATGAAGCTGAAATCTAATGTGATTGTGTCTGAGTATTTTATTTGGACAACAGCAAAATATTTCTAGAGACTCTTCTACTCTCCTTTAGTCTTTCTCTTTTCTTTTTTTTTTTTTTTTTTTGAGATAGGGTCTCACTTTGTTACCCAGGCTGGAGTTCAATGGCGCAATCTCAGCTCACTACATCCTCTGCTTCCCAGGCTCAAGCAATTATCCTGCCTAGCCTCCCAAGTAGCTAGGACTACAGGTGTGCACCACCAAGCCCAGCTAGTTTTGTTTGTTTGTATTTTTTGTAGAAAAGTTTCGCTAGATTGCCATATTATAGTTTCGCTATATTGCCCAGGCTGGTTTCGAACTCCTGAGCTCAACGGATCCACCCAAAGTGCTGGGATTATAGGCATGAGCCACGGCGCCCAGTCCTTAGCCATTTTTTAGATGTTGCTTTTTCTGAGCTAGTTCTGGAGATATGATTTCATAGTCATGCCTTTTTGGTTCAAATTCCAATTCTTCCACTTACTTGCTTCAAGCCTCTGTTTCCTCATTTGTAAAATGGGAATAAGAGTAGTACCTACCTCACTGAACACTTAATGTCTATCTACCAATCACTGCTAAATGCTTAAGTAGTATTGTTCTCATTTTACAGATGTAGAATTTGTAAAAATACAAAAATTTTGTAAAAATACAAAAATTAGTTGGGTGTAATGGTGGGCACCTGTAACCCCAGCTAATTGGGAGGCTGAGGAAGGAGAATCACTTGAACCCGGGAGGCGGAGGTTGCAGTCAGCTGAGATCGTACCATTGCACTCCAGCCTGGGCGGAAAGAGTGAAAAAAAAAAAAGAAAGAAAAAGAGTGAAAAAAAAAAAAAAAAGAAAAGAATCAACGTTCATCCCGAAGTCTTGGGCCTTAGAAAGGGAGTAAATGACGGTATCATTAACAGAAATAGGAACAAAAAGAGGAAGAGGGGGTGTGTGTGTGTGTGTGTGTGTGTGTGTGTGCATGTGTTGAGCGTAGAGTTCTAAACATGTTAAGTTTGAAATGTCTATTTTATATCCGAGTAGAGATGCGAATAGGCGGGTGGATATATATACACACCGTATAGAAGTCTGGACCTCTAAGCAGAAGTTGAGCCTGGACAGAGACATTTAGAAGTAACCAGCTTACAGTTGATATTTAAAACCAAGGGACTGGATAAAATCATATATTAGAGAAGAGAGCTGGGGTCTGAGCCTGAGGGCATTGTGTAATTTAGAGGCCAGTAAGAGAAGGGGCCAGCAAAGGACACTGAGAGGAAAACTGGTCACTCCCTGTTGAATGGTAGAGTAGGGTTAGGACTGAGAATTGCCCATTTGCTCACTATTTTATACCTAGTACCTAGCTCAGTGGACTGGCATGTAATTAGGGCACAATAATATTTGTTGAATGAATGAATCTTCACTTCTGTTTCTTAGATATTTGTTGGGGTCCCCTAGGTACCAGGTACTGTTTTAGGTCCTGTGGATTCACAGCATAGTGTCCCCTGTAATCACAGATTCTAGTGGGGGCCACAGACAGACAGACATATGGAACAAAAAATTATGTATTGTTAGTTTATAATAACTGTCTTCTCCCCCTTCCAGCCTATTCTAAGGAGAATGGGACTGAATATCTAGAGGGCGCTTTGTTGGTGAGCAATGATGAGCTGGGATATATAAATTTGGGGATATAGCTACACTGTAGGCAAAGATTTGGGGAAGAGGGAGAAGTTGAGGGAGAAGAGTGGTGGGCTTTTAGCTGAACTGAAGAGGTGGCCCCAGCCAAAGGTACCAAATTCAATTAAAATAAAATATGATGTCAGCTCAACTCACATGGCTGAATTCTGCAGGGTAATTGATGGTTTACATTTACAGCCTTAGGGTTAGACTTAATCTGGTAAGAGAATGGAGAAGGGGGGGTTGGGCAGCAAGAAATAAGGCTCAAATTGAATCTTATTAAACTATAAAGTTAGCTGCAAGATATGTTGAACTGTTACCCTTAGAATTATTATCCTTAAGTTCCTGCTTTACAAAAAACACTCTTAAGTCTTGAATCAGCAGCCCCCATTGGCTAAGAACAAATTTTAGGTACTTGTGTGAGCCCAAATCCATGCCAGAGAAGGGAATAAAACCTCTTGAAGAAAGGTAGAGAGTAAGTGTGAAGCACTTTATTGTTTTACACAATTTTTAAAACTTACCTTGTGGTCTTTCTCCTCTGGAAGTTTGCTAACGTAGTTCCCGTGCCTCTATCTGGACTTCACACTTCTGTGCCCCTTGGAAATACCACTCCCCCGCCCCCCAACCAAAAAAGGGAAATTTAAAAAAGAAAATAAAATTTTCTATCCTCCTTCCAAATTAAAAGATATAATCTCCTTCCAAAACTAATTGTTCAGCAAGCTGTGTTCCTATATTTTTCATTCATCGTACAGCTCTGATGCCATCGTGTAACAGTTATTAGAGTTATTAGACTCCATCAGGTTATTTGCCTTGGACTCCAAATTGTTGGGAACTAAGTGATGTTTACTGCTCGGCTGGGAGGGAGGTCTGGCATTTAGAGGGCCCTCTGTGAGTGAGTGTAACCCGAGCTAATGCCTGCAGCGAGGAAGGCACACACAGAAGACTGCAAGCCTTTATCTGGAAAAGTTTATGGAAACAATGACAGCACGCTTAACAATGATATATTTATTATATAACTATATCGTATATGTAAAATATATATTTATTTAATAAAGAGTTGAAAATAAAACCGTGACTCCACAGCCATTTCTTTTCTTTTCTTCTTTTGTTTTGAGATGGAATCTCACCCTTTCTCTCAGGCTGGAATGCAGTGGCACGATCTCGGCTCACTGCAACCTCCGCCTCCCAGGTTCAAGTGATTCTCCTGCCTCAGCCTCCCGAGTAGCTGGGATTACAGGCGCGCGCCACCACACCCAGCTAATTTTTGTATTTTTAGTAGAGACGGGGTTCGGATGTTGGCCAGGGTAGTCTCGAACTCCTAAGCTCAAGGGATTCGCCCGCTTCGGCCTCCCAAAGTGCTGAGATTACAGGTGTTAGCCACCGCGCCCTGCCCACAAGCCCACTTCTTACTACAATCTTTCCATTCACTAGCGGGTTCTCTGAATCCATTTCCTCTTCGAACCTGAGCTCAAACCAGCCTTGATCTGACTGGCCAATCCGAGCACATTCTTCCCCAGTCGCGAGTATGGCTGCAGCCAATGAGAGACCGGGGCGCCTCGGTGGGGTGAGACAGGGCGCTAGCAGGCGGAACCCTGGGGGGCGTGGTGACGGGGGAGTGTGGGCGGGGCAGTGGAACTAGAGTCAGCCAATTGCTGACGCACTACGCGCAGAGGGAAAGACAGATCACCAATAGCGACACGGATATGGTCCCGCGGGCGGGGTTTAGGCCCAAAGTAGTGTCGGAGCAGCGCCTATTAGTGTCATCCTCACCGTCACGGCCGGCGCCCCCTCCTGGATTCATTCATCGCTTTTTTCATTCACGAAGGTAGTGAGGCCTAGTGGAAAGCCATGGAGAGCGCTCTCCCCGCCGCCGGTTTCCTGTACTGGGTGGGCGCGGGCACCATGGCCTACTTAGCCCTGCGCATTTCGTACTCGCTCTTCACGGCCCTCCGGGTCTGGGGAGTGGGGAATGAGGCGGGGGTCGGCCCGGGGCTCGGAGAATGGGCAGGTGAGTCGGATGCAGCGCCGCGTCTTCGCTCCTGTGGCGGCCGGGACCAGGCCTGGCCAGTGATGACCAGTTCCGGGCTCTGCTCCTGGCCTTCCCCTCCCCAGCTCTCTTCTTTCTCAGGCTCCTGCGTCCCTCGGGCCCCTCCTGGCTCCCTTGGCTGTCTTCTGCTTGCTTAGACAACTTGCAGAGTTTTAAAGTACGAGATACACTGCTCGCTCAATCCTGGGAATCTAAAGCGCAGCTTGGGGTGTAGGAGAAAACTGCCTCAAGTCCCTGGGGCTTGTGTCCTTTAAGCCATTCCGGGTTCATGGAGCCAGTCAGTCGCCCTGCTGCCTCCTCAGTTACACGCTGTCCTCCTTGGTTCGCCCCTTGTAAGTGTTTTTAAAATAAAGTTTTTCGCTTGGTTTGAATATTGGCCCTGCGCTAAGGATGCAGAGCATTCTGTTAACATGTTTGGGCTGAGGACGGAAGACGGGGTGTAGGGACACAGAATTTCAGAAGGCTTTTTGCACGGCGGAATCGTACCTCCCCAGTTACGATTAAGATAGTAATCGTATCAGGATTCGGCCTATTTCATGCAATTTACAAAGCCCCAAATTAAAAGGAATTCTCGCTAAACTGTTCTGGAGTCCTAACGAGTAGCAAGAACTATTGCTTCTGTAAAATGATAACTCATCATGTTAAAATCAGATTTTGTTTGTTTGTTTGTTTGTTTTGCACAAGGACGTTTGTGGGAAAGAGTATACCCATAAAGAGTGAACTAAATACTTGGAACTTGTAGTCGGAGGATTTTTAAAATGGATGACGAAGGTCAGACTGAAGAAATAGGGAAAATTATCCGCAAGGAAGTTTTTTGCCCCCCCCCCCGCTTTTTTTTCTTTTTCATCCTATTTTGTTTCCTTCTTTGCTTTATTTTCGTCTCTTTCGGACTTTTTTCCCTTTAAACCAAGTGATTACTTATGGTATGCTTGTGGTCGTTCCCTGAGATGATTATTTATTTTGATGTTTTATGATCGAATGTGCACTTCCTAAGCATTTTATTGAATTTTGGGGCAGTTAGGCATTGCCTGCAGACTGGGCTCAGGTAAGATACACTAATAATGTTACTCCATGTTCTTTGTTTATTCAGAAACATTTAAACAACTTAGTAGGAAAGACATATGTTAACCTTTGGGGCTTATGTTAACATTAAGAGAAAACATCTTAGCAGTGGATATGTATGTGAAATCTTTGCACGATGTGGAGCAACATTATAATAGTGTTTCACAATCACCTGTTTCTCTGAGAAAGAAAGTGTTCAGCTGGGTGCGATGGCTCACGCCTGTAATCCCAGCATTTTGGGAGGCCGAGGCGAGTGGATCACGAGGTCAGGAGTTTGAGACCAGCCTGGTCAACATGGTGAAACCCTGTCTCTGCTAAAAACACAAAAATTAGCCGGACGTGGTGGTGCGCGCCTGTTGTCCCAGCTACTCAGGAGGCTGAGGCAGGAGACTCCCTTGAACCTGGGAGGCGGAGGTTGCAGCGAGCTGAGATTGCACCACTGCATTCCAGCCTGGGAGACAGAGCAAGGCTCCATCTCAAAAAAAAAAAGAAAGTGAAGTTTTCAACTTGGTGATAAAAATTAAGATTATGATTTCCCAATTGACTTGCCCACATTCTTCATTGTCCGTTTTGGGAAATCTGTTTGAGGACTTTTGCTGTAGTTACACAAGACAGTTATGCCTTAGGGAATTTTGTCAAGATAAAATTTGTAATTGGTAAGCAAAGACTAATGTTAATAACTTGTTGTTTTCTTTTCTTTTTCTTTTTTTTTTTTTGAGACAGGGTCTCGCTTTGTCACCCAGGCTGGAGGGCAGTGGTATGGTGGTGTGATCATAGCCAACTGCAGCCTCGAACTCTTGGGTTCAAGTGATCCTCCCACGTCAGCCTCCTGAGTAGCTGGGACTATAGGTGTATATCACCATACAAGCTAATTTTTTTTGGTTTTTAGTAGAGACAAGGTCTTACTGTGTTTCAGAGGCTGGTCTTGAACACCTGAGATCAAGTGATCCTCCTGCTTCAGCCTCCCAAAGTGCTGGGATTATAGGTGTAAGCCACCATGCCTGGACTGTTTTTTTTTTTCTGTTTAAAATTGACCATATTGATTGATTATTCAAATAAGTCCAAGTCATCTACATATGAGTCTATAGTAAAAGGCAAGTGATGTAGCATCAGAAGTAACATTTGTGTTGAAAAGATTTGGCCCCAGAGGAAGGATAATTGATAAATTAAGGGAAGTATTTGTATAAGATTTAGATATGAAATTTGAACTGGAACACTGGAACAGCAGAGGATCATAGTATCATAATTGAAGTGAAATGCTGACAGGTTCAATTTACCCTGGGTTGTTGGAATTTTTTTTTTTAAGTGCTTAAGCAGAAGAAGTGATCTTAAAAGAAAATACTTCCTTTATCTTCAAATTCTGGAACTCTTCAAAAACAAAATTAAGAGCAGCTCATCTTAAACAGGTTCTTCATATGAGTTAGAGAGGTGAACTGAAATAATTTGAAAAACAAACTAGCAGAGATGACACTTGAATAATTGGAGTTGTGATTAAAAATATTGTTCTACCAAAGTTATGATTTTAGAATTGTTGTATATAAATAGTACTAGTAAGTTTTTTCCTACAAAATTACTATCTTAATCTCGAGTCTCTGTTCTTATGTAGCCTTTGAATCTACTTTCTAGTACTAATATTTAATATTTTCCTCTTTATAACCACTTATATATTTTAAGTATTTTATATTAGCATATGTTGAATTGATAGTATATTTTTATTCTTGTTATTCTTAGTCTCTTCATGTATCTTCATGTGAGTATGTTTAATCTGTCTGCCTCAGATTTTAGGATCTGAGGGGCAGAAGGCGTGGATTCTCACTTTGTCTTTTCCCACAAATTGGCTCTTCTAAACTTAAGAACAAAAACTTTGAAAAAACTTGAAATACATGCATGCTTCACAATCAGTAAAAATATTCTAGGTAACGGGTTCCTTAGTGTTGTTAGACTTTGAAGACTGTCCATTATTTGGCCCAGACTCTAATTTATCTCCATCTCCTGGTCAAGAGCTGGGCCATCTCTTTTTCCTAGTTCTCGCCAGTAGCATTCCCACTCAAGTGAATCCCCTGTGTTCCCTACACCCGTGGCAGGTGGGTTTAGCCAATTTAGTAGGTAAGACTTCTTTTTCTGTCATTGTTACCTGAATACTTCCTGTATTTCTTAGGAGAACAAAAGGAGATCCTGTGAATGTGGAGTTTCAGTTGTTTGAAGGTCAGTGTAGCAAGTAATCAAAAGGAGATTGATAACAAAGGTGGTCAGTTTGTATTAAATAAAGGAAAGAACAGTCACTGCTATAGAGCAATAAAAAATGTAATCTGTAAAATGTGGTTTGAGCATAAATACATTTTGCATGTATTTGAGTAGTTTCCATTACTGGAGAGTTCATCTCAAATGATTGCTATTGAAGTAAAGTGGAGATGACAGATGCAAAGGCAAGGTAAGTAGACTTCCAATGTCAAGATATTTTATAACCTTAAACATAAGACAGCACTCTGAGCACTTATTTTTAGTTTTTAATGAAGAGGATATTGTTCCACGCAGTGAAGAGTAAAGGATCCACTAATCAGTTAGTGAGTTAGATTTTTTAAAACAACTTTAGTGAGATATAATTAATATACCATACAATTTGCCCATTTAAAGTGTACAATTCAAGGTTTTTATGCTCACAGGGTTGTGCAACCATCATCAAATCCAATTTCAGAACATTTTCATCTTCCTTAAAAGAAACGCTGTACCCATTAGACCCCTCACTCCCTGACCCCCACCTGCTCCAGCCCTAGTCAACCACCAATCTACTTTCTGCCTACATAGATTTGCCTGTTCTGGATATTTCATATAAATGGAATCATGCAGTAGGCATTTTTTTTTGGTGAGTGGCTTCTTTGATTTTTGCATAATGTTTTCAAGTTTCACCTATGAAATCTGTACTTCATTTTGTTTGTATTGCTGAATAATATTCTGTTTTGTGGAGTAAGGTTAGATTTCACAAAAAGTCTTCAACCCTTTGTTTTGCCCTCTGGATATTTACATTAGCAAATCCCTAAGATGTTGTAGCTTCTGGTTGCTGATGGAACTCATTTGGCTTTGTAGTATTCCAAAGTTCTCCTAATTCAGTAGATAGTGAGGACTTAAAAATGGCAGGAATGGTGCAGTTCTCCTCTGGAAAAACCATTCATGAAAACAAGCTTTGCTTAGCCATGCTCGAGAATCAAAGAATTCTCAAAATCACAGGTGTAATCACAATTTCTGTTTTCACATTGGTTAACTGCACAGGGTTAACCTCAAATGACTGAAGAATACTTGTGTAACTAGAGCTTGTTAATAGTAGGTGTCTTTCTTTAACAAGAGTTTGTGATATCACATAATTTGAAGAATTATATATGAAATGTTAGTTACTTAAATTGACAACCCAGAAGAATTATTAATAACTATCATTTATTGAATGGGTGCTTGAAATGTGCCAGGAACTTGAGATTATTTTTAACCTCTTTGAGCTGTGCTCCATTGTCCCCAGTGGACAGAGGAAGAATCAGGGGGTTAAGTAAATTGCTTTCATTGTCTATGGTTTCATAGCTATTAAATTGCAGAGTCAGGATTTGAAACCAAGTCATCCGTTCTGCAACATTCATACACCATACGTTGGTGATGGGCCTACAGACTGGATGCATACTCGGGAGTAGATTTCTTTATACCTACAAACTTTATTAAAAGCTTTTTGATTGGCCGGGCGCGGTGGCTCATGCCTGTAATCCCAGCACTTTGGGAGGCCGAGGCGGGTGGATCACGACGTCAGGAGATCGAGACAATCCTGCCTAACACGGTGAAACCCCGTGTCTACTAAAAATACCAACAACAACAAAAAAAAAAATTAGTCGGACGTGGTGGCGGGCGCCTGTAGTCCCAGC